GCTTTAAGGGTTTATTTACTTGTTCATCTTCCAGCAGAGGTCGGCAACCTTTTTTGCCGACAGGCTGGGGGGAGGGGTGAGATGGCGTTGGGGGCCAGCACGCATGCTCATGCACCCCCACCCGCGGGCAGGCGTGCCACCATTTTGAAAAAAAATGGTGGCCGGCCCCCGCATGCACATGTGCACGGCGGTGGCCCCCCCCAGGAGGGCTCCCTCCTAGAGGCCCAGTGGCACCGAGGGTCCCCCGGGGAGGCTTGCCTCGGCGGCGACGGGCCTCCTAGAGGCCCAGCGGCACCGAGGGTCCCCCCGGGGAGGCTTGCCTCGGCAGCGACGGGCCTCCTAGAGGCCCAGCGGCACCGAGGGTCCCCCCCGGGAGGCTTACCTCAGCAGCGACAGGCCTCCTCCCCACCGCCGTGCGCACTGCTGCCTCCGCGTGTGCCACGGCTGCCATTTTGGCAAACAAAATGGCGGTCGCGGCACGCGCAGCCGCACGGCAACCAAAACGTGTGGCGGCGGCAGGGGTCCGCTTGGGCCAGTAAGTCCAGCGACCTGTGCCAGAACCAGCCCGGGGGGCGTATGTTGCCGACCCCTGATCTTCCAGTGTGTAATACATGCCATCTTCTCAGCAATGAATGCCCTTCTGCACTCTATGTAGGAAAAGGAGGGTGAACACACAAAAGAATAAATGAATGTAAACCTGACATTAGAAAAAGTAATACAGTGGGCCCTTGGTATCTGCTGGGGTTTGGTTCCAGGATGCCCCATAGAAACTAAAATCTGTGAATGCTCAAGTCCCATCATATACGAAGATGTAGTAAAATGGTGCCATTTATACTGGGATTAGGAGCAAAGGACCCCCGTGAAAATGAAAAAAAGTAGATTAAAACACTTTTTTTGTTTGATCTAGAGATGTTTGGCCTAAACTGCACTGGAAGACCTGCAAATGCCTATAAAGTGTTATTGCTAGGTATCTCTAGTCCTCCAATGTGACTCTGTGGTCAGCTTCTGGCATAATCGCATTAGAGGACCTAGAGATTTCTAGAGAGAACACAATCAAAACAGTAAATAATCAAATCTGCAAAAGTCAAAGCCACAAATGTAAAGAGCCAATTGTATAAAATGGCAAAAAATAAGGTTTTCTTTTTGGAATGTTTATAAATATATTTTAAAGCCATGGATGGTTGAATCCGTAGATACAGGAGGACAAGTGAATTACAAAACAAAAATCTGAGAGAACATTTTGGTCTTCCAGGACATTGTCACTGACCTTAATGTTGTCACTGTAGATCAAACAAGCTTCAAGGGAGACTAGAATGAGGAATTGAGGGGAGTTGCAGACTGCCAGAAATAGTGCAAATTGAGTCCACTTTAGGGTTAGGGTTAGTGCTAGGGAATCATGGGAATTTTTTTTCTGAGACATTGAGCCTTCTCTGTCAGAGAGCTCTGGTGCCACAATAAAATACAGTTCCCATGATGCCCTAATCCTAACCCTTAAAGTGGACTCAATTTGCACTATTTTTGGCAGTCTGCAACCCTCCTGAGTTTCAATTCATACAAGTTTGAGTGTATCGGCAGAGATTTGGAACACAATTGTGATTCTTATGATAGTACGACAGTACATACTTCTCACTGGAAGCCACAATGTCTAAGCACTGGCTATGGTTCTTTGGATATATCATGAGATAGAATGACTTGTTGGAAAAGAGGATAATGCTCAGTAAAGCAGAAAGCATTAGGAAAAGGTGAATTGACTCAAGCAAAGGAGGCTTGGTTCTGAGTTTCCAAGATCTGGACAAGGCTATAATAGTCTTCTGGTGTCCTCTCACAAGTGCCAATGTAAGACGCACCCACATTGAAGGAATAAAACACCAAAGTTCCCAGATATTTGTATAGTCAGCAATAGCCTTGTGAAGAGCTAGTGTGAATAATATCATTGTCACTATCTCTGCCTGTAATTTTCCTCTGACCTCATTGCTTATAGTCCAGCTGTGTTGTGAGTGGGTGGGAGACAGAAAGAGCAAGAAACTTTATGTGTAAGAATTAACACTCCATATATCTGATGTACTGGGCTAGAGTCCATAAAAGCTCATGCTATAATCAATTTATAAGCTTTAAGGTGCCACAGAAGGCTGATGTTGAATAAAATATTTGTCAGGATTAATTTGTGAGGCATAAGAATGAGCACCTCACTGATTTAATATATTTAATAAATCAGAATCTGACAGTATTTGTCGGGATTAATTTGTGAGGCATAAGAATGAGCACCTCACTTGGGAAAGAAATCTATTGATTTGATCTGCTCTTCCAGCAGGATAGTTTTTGAATCAGACAATTAACTGGTGGAAGGTGGATAAGGAAGGGGTATTCTGAGACATAGAAAAAAAATACTGGGGCTGGGTTAAATTTACAAGCTTTTTGTGGTGAGTTCATTCATGTAATGGGAAAAGCTGTTCCCATTTGCAAATTCAGCCTAGCATGTTTTGTAAAGAACATCCTGAGGTGTAAAAATCATGGGCAAAGTAGTGTTCCATAAATTGTCCTTTGTCCTTCAAATTGGAGACAAGTTTTAAAATGTTGCCAGTATTTAAACAAGCTACATATGGTCAAAATTACTGACACAAGGGATACATTTGATTTTACAAGTGTTTTTGCATATTTCATAAAGTTAGAAGTAGAAATGCTCTTGGCCTTTGCAACTTTATGTCCAGGGGAAATGACGGTACCATTTCCATGTGCTTTATTGCCATTGGTTTTATCACTGTGCCAGCAACCACTGGCAACTAGGAATGAAGTAATTTAAAATGTGAGAAGGAGGCAACGACTGCATGAAAAAGACATGGGTGCATATAAAGTAATGTTAACATTTTTGGATCTTGAATTAGTACATACAGCTCTCAATTTGATTATTTATGTTCATACTAAACAGTAGCAATTAATTTTGCTAGGCAATAGTTTGGCACCAGGGCTAGATATCAATGTTCTGGTCTAAATACCCTAAAGGTACCAGAGCCCATCTGATCTTGGAAGCTAAGCAGAGTCAACCTTGGTTAGTACCTGGATGGTAGACTGTCAATGAATGTGAGGTGCCATGGACTATCTTTCAGAAATAGGAATTGGCAAAACCATCTAAGTGTTCCTTCCCCAAGAAAACCCTATGAAATCCATGGGGTCACCATGACTTGAAACCACATACATATACATACACTAGAAGTTAACAGTTGTGCCATTATGACCTCTATATAAGGGCCTTCCTAAAACAACAACAATACAAGAAGGCTGCAATCCTGAATCAACTTGCTGAAGAGAATATGTTTCATTAGATACAGTGGAAACTATTTCTGAGTAAATATGTCTAGGCTTGCACAAAGTGATTGTAGGAACAGGAACAAATAAAGAAGATGGATCCAAAATGCAATAGATGAGATTATTATTATTGATTTTTTTATAGGATAGAATCTTGTAATCTTGTAAGCCTTTGTGCTTAACAGTTCTTCTACCCCACAGAACAAAGTACATTCGGTGGCATTCTATTATTGATATACACATGTGTAAGTTGCACTATGTAGACCAGGGGTAGGCAACCTTTTTGAGCTGGAGGCCTGGTTGCTGTCCCTCAGACAAATTGGGGGGGGGG